TTGAAGAATTTTGTGAGAAGGGACAAAGAAAAAATGAAAAGAAATCAGGTTCTAGGACATTATGTGAAGGGATTAAAGATCAAGATTGTTAGAAGTAAAAGGAAAGAATATAGAGTTGGTTTATTTGATCAAGGTTACAATAGACAAGTTGTTTTTTCTGGTAACCCTTAATGGACTTTTGCTGATGTCAGAACTGAAATGATGAGTCTGTAAGGATTTGTTTCTAAATAAGAGATGGAATATGGGAAGAAGAGATCATTTGTTATATTTTAAGAGAAGGTGATAAGCTACTTAACTTAGTTACACTTGTGATGAAGGGGGAAGTCATTTCTTTATATATATCTTTTTTCCTTTACTATATTATTTTTTTCTTTTCTATTTTTCTTTTCTATTTTCTTCTGCACCTATTTTTTCTTTTTTTTAGTTTGTATTAGTTTTTATCTTTATAATTTTAATTTTTAATAAAATACTATTTAAAAAAAGTATTGATGTAGGTCATAATATACAATACCTTCAAACCGTTTATGGCTGTCATAATCCTCTGAGCAAGGTACCTCAATGAATTTGTCTGGGACGCTTTCACCATGATAGGCCAATACTTCTGTAACCCCATCTTCACTGAGCAAGTAGCTTCCACTCAAAAGATAACCCAGCATGGCAGATGAGACAAGGAAAGCTGCTGTCAACCATTTCCGCCGTGAATCTTTCTGAGCATTATCTTTCATGCCACTGAAAACAAAACAAGATGCTTTTATTCTCTCCTTTAATAAATTAATATTTTTATTTTAGATGTTACAATGAAGTTTTCAAACCTATGTCTGTTCTTCATACTTTTACTGTGTATTATTTTTTCATCATTATTTTAATTTTAAAATGTCTGTCTTGTGATTTAATATACTATCAGCTGATCTGGGAAAATACTATATTCAAAGGCAGAACATGTATTTTAAAAAGCAATAAATATAATTCATACAATTTGCACTTATTTAAATACAAAACTAGATAGAGTGAGTGGAATACACTTGTACTCAATAACATGGGCCCAATGAATGCATCTTTAATACACAGGCCTCATTCACATCAAGTAACAAACATATCATCCAATCTCAGGCATGGGAAAAAAACAGCCTCTGGCTATTAAAATTAAATCCTATTAAAACTGACAATGTACTCTGAACAACTTACTAAAAATAAATGTTTTCTTGAACATTAAGGAGTATTTGAATACCTGCATTCTACTTCTGTTCTCTTTAAACTCAGTGGTTTGTAGGAAGTTTCAGGAAGTATTTGTATGAACTTCCACAGAAAGCTAGCGTAGTGTGGGGTTTAGGTCTTGGAGTTGGATCAGACAAAGCCAGGCTCAAGTTCCACACAAAGAGAATTCACTGGTTGACCTTGGGGACAGTCAGTCTCTCTTACCCAACCTACCTCAAAGGATCGTTGTGAAGATAAAATGTGCAGATGCTCCCCCATAAGATGCCTTGACATCTTACAGAAAAAGCAGATTATCATAATTGCACTTATTACTTTTTTTTTTTATCCAGCTATTCCCCCACAGCCTTCCCTATCTATATCCTCACAAGGACTTACAAATAAAGATTAAGTTGATTGCACACAAGTAGTTCAAAATTATCCAGAAAGCTCTGTGGCTAAGTGAGGACATAAACCCACAGTATTTCTGGCCTAAATCCAGTGCTCTGCTAGTACAGTAAAGGATACTAGGCAGAAGTCATTAAGCCAATTCATTTGGGAAAAGGAACACCATGATCCAGAGGAAATGTAAAGGGATAATACTGGCCAAGTAGCAACACAAGCATCAAGCCCAAAAAGGAAGCAGAACTTATTTTAATAAACTTAACAAACTGTCCCATAAAGAGCTAGCTAGCTATTTATTTATTAAATCTATATGGGCACCCATCTCATGAATATGACTCTTTCATGTGTATTCACCTGGAGTGCACAAATATTGTCCTATAATTTCCCCTACTTTTCCTACAGCGTAGGTATTCTCAGCGTGGGAGCTCCTATAAGGTTGGGTTGTCCATTCATTATCCAGCTATCAATATTTCCTTAAACGAAGGAAAAGGAGAAACCCTCTTTCTTACAACCAGATTCCAACCTGTCACATTGTTGCACGAATCCAGCTCAGTACAATTAGAAATGATTAAGAGCTGCTCTGTATCTGCTTCCAGGTTTATCATGCCAGTAGAAGTCCTGGGACTTGCCATACAAAACACCCCAAACTGATGCCCCCTGGATATGCCTGACTACACCGCCGCCCCAACCCCACCCCAAGACCTTCTAACCGGTACAGCCAGCTCTGTCCTGGGTGGACATTCTGGAAAGGGTTTTCCACATTGGGACGGCGCCAGATTGGACAAAGCGCTACAGAGGGGTGAGAGAAGCCAGGGTGAACGGAAGCCTGGCGGGATGAGGGAGATGAAGCGCAGAGAGCCACCGCCTCCTCCTCCCACGCGCAGCATTGAGCCGTGGTGGGCAGCTATCAGCACCCAGTCTCCCAGACGTCGCTGGCGCCTTCGTACCTGCTGAAACGACGACGCTCTCCCGCCCGACCCGCCGCACCTGCGCCGCTACTCTCCGGAGCCCTTCCGGCCGCCCGTCGCTGCGGAGCCATAGCTTCAATTGAGCGGCTGTACCTGGACGTCAGGACGCTGCCTTCGAGCGCCCGGGAGGGGGCGGAGGGAGGCAGCGACCAATAGGCTTTCACAGAGCCCGAGCCGGAAGCTCAGGGAGGCGCAACCGATCTCAGAGAACGCGAGCAGTCAGGCATGCTCAATCGAGCCGAGAGCAGCCGAACTCCAGCCGGCGGAGGTGGACGCTGCGCAGTTGCTGGAAAAGGTGCGTCGGGATACGGTGATGGGGAGGCAGGTGTAGAGCTTAAAAGAAGAGATCGCAGGATAGCGGGTGGGGCTTGAGCGGTGAGCAATATATACAAGAGGTTGCCAATTACTCTGTTTATTTTTCCTGTGCCGACTTCTGCTGGGGCTGGTCTGCTGCCTCTAAGGAAGTGTGGCCCTGCGAAGGGGTGAATTCAGGACGCCACTTTACTCTTGGGGAGAGGCATGGAGGTTTTCCTGGTCCGAGTTGCAGCTATCCCGGCATTGAGTCACCTGCAATTCTGCAATATTGATACACCGAATCTTACGTAGACATTTCGCCCTGTTACCTTAACACGCGTAACACGCAAAGTCCTTGAGGGTCAGATTTATTTGTTGTATTTATGATTCCCGTTTGTGACCTGCTCTTAATTTTAACAAGTTCCAAAGATCCGTTTGACTCCCACCCTGAGGATGTACGAAGTCTTTAAAAACCTGGTTACTGCATTCTCTCAGGCCTTGCGGGTGGTGTTTGATGCACAGATCGTCCGGATACTTCGGCTCTTTTTTAATTGTTTTTCTATTTCAAGTGTAAGTCGCCCAGAGTCATTCTGGCATTGGGTGACTTCTAAATCTACTAAATAAATAAAAATACATTCTAAAGTAAGTGTATCCAGAAACAGGTTTATTGAATAGGGTTTTCCCCAATATATATCCAAATAATTCGTTGCATACTGCATATTATATAACTGCAGTATATACAATATGCTTTGTGTGCAGAATATCCCAGGTTGAATCCCTGGCATCGCTAGATAGGGCTGAGAGAGCAGCAAGCTGCTTCAGTTAACATGGTACCTTCCAGATGTTTTGAGCTACAGCCTTTTGCCCTTGGCCAGGTTCTTGGCTGATTCTCAAAACATTAAGCAGGACCAGATCTAGTTAATGCTTGGGTGGGAGACCATTAGGGTTGTGGGCTAGATTGGGAAGTTGAAAACATCCTAGAAGAAGGTTGTAGCAAACCAGTTCAGCAATACTGCCAAGAGAATTACATGGATATGTCCGTGAAGTCACCAGAAATTGAACTCAACTCAAAGAAGAGTTTGGGTTGCCTGGATAAGATGAGAGTTAAAATCAAAGCATACTGAGCTATTAAAAACCAGTGCTCTGAATCTGGCGAAAAGCAGTTTCCTGTGTTGACAATCAAATATCCTCATTTATTGATGGCTGTGTATTGTAAACTATTGGGAAGGTTTTGCACTGCAGAAGACCCCAATACAGGACTAGGGCACAACAGGGCTAAATAGTCTTTCAGCAGCATTATTTTCAGATTACTGTCTTTTTATTATTGTGTAAGCTGCTCTGGGAGCTTTTCATCATTGTGAATTATTATTTTCCCCAAAAGTATTATTATTACCGTATTATCTTTATTACATGTTTATCCTGTCTTTCCTCCAGGAACTCACAGGGGCACACACAAGATTTCCTTTCATTTTTTCCAACACAACAGAATTGTGAGGTCAGTTGGACAGAGAGTGGAGTGACTGGCCCAAGGTGATCTAGTGAGCTTTATGGTGTGATAGGAACCAACATGGAGTGGAGCCCCCCCCCCAGTCCTAATCCAGGACTTTAATAGTGGGTCCAGAAATACTATACTGACTCTCTTCAGGCTGAAGCAGCAGGATACAAATAATTTTAAAAATCAGTCAATAAGCACACATTTATTCTGGAATTAAGTCTAAATCATTGTAACATACTTCCAAATAAATCTACTTTCTAAGAAAATGGAAGGCTTTAAATATCCTTCTTGTTTACCAGTTCCATACTTGATAGTCATAGTTCTACATGTCAGTAGAAGAGAAGCCATTTGTGAAGTTCCTTCTCATTTTAATCACAATTATATTCATCATAGCTATTGTAAATTAAAAAAAAATTGTTTCTAAACATACAGTGTACATCTACCAGTGACCTCTTTCCAACCAGGACTCTCTGATGCAAGGTTACATCATTTAAGTAGAAAGGCAGGGTGTAAATTAACAGCAGCAGTATTATCTCAAATTTAAAAATATTAGTATAGCTATTTCCCTAATATCTATTTTCTACTAAATTTTTATAAAGCATCTCAGTAACATTTAAATTTTCATGGAATGTTAATGGATAAAATTAAGCTATAAGGTAGCAACCCTTACTTGGAGGAAAGTCTCTTTGAATGCAATGGAGCTTTTTTCAAATAAACATACATACAAAGATTTCAGTTGTAATGGAAAATTGATATAGTCCCATACTGACCTGAGTGACAAATTTGGTGCTTGAGATGAATGAGGCTTATGGATTGAAAATGAGAAAGAAATGGGAATATATGTGAAACCAATAGAAGCGAATATGTGTAGCTCAGGGTTGAACTGTGGAGTCCTTGGTGTTCTCTGAGCTTGGTTCTTTTCAGTGTTGGTGGGGGATAAGCAGATATTACTACCAGGCATACAATCAAGCAGTAAACAATACCCTAACAGAGGAACTACCAGAGGAAAAAATAAAACAAAACCCACGCCCCCACCAACACTGGCAGGGCAAGCTACTGTATATAAACAGAAAGCAAACCCCACTCCCTTCTAGCACTGAAGGTGTTACCTAGCTGGTAAACGTTTGCAGGAGAAGAACCAAGCTCAGAGAACATCAAGGACTCTACATATATGGGAAAGGTTGCAGCTCAGAAAATTTAGGCGCATAACAGGAGGTTGAACCATTTTTTCCAGAAAGGACAGCTTCAAAACATCAGTCTCTCATGGGAGCAAACAGCATCATTGGAGTGAAGAGCTTTATGTAACTAAATGTCAGCCTTCAGGCTTCCCCCAAACCAACACTGAAACAAGAATGCTTATAGGCAGAGGTTCAGGGGCATAAGACACTTGCATTACAGACTTTTTAAGAATAAAAAAAACTAGTGATTGCTAACAATAAGACTCAAGCCATATATATTGCAAATCCAAGGTTCAATTTAAGATTTCTTTCTCCTACCTTTGCATCGTAACAGAGTGCTATTCATTTCCCAGCAGGAGCAGGAGCTGATACCTATGCACTATTACTGTATTGTAATGGACCAGTCTGGTCTTGGATCCTTAGCTTCTGACCTTGCACACACTAGCCCTCACAGCTAGACCTGGGATGTGCAGATCCAGTCACTAGCAATTTAAATCTTCCTCACAGGGCTGTTGTAAGGGTAAAGTGATTGGAAGTATAAAAGTGAGACTGTTTCCAGCATTAAGGAGCATGCTTCCACTTGTATAATAAGATGGTCACCAATGGTATTTGGTTTGATTAAAGCCATGAGGAAAATAGGATGTGTTGCTTGTTTTGATATCCTGCATTCCTATAAGAACAAGGACTTGCTTAAATGTTGTTTTGTGGAAACTTTCCGTTATCCTATTTAATGATGTGGGGAAATGAGGCAGCTGGTAATGCTACCGCTCTTTTCCAGTATATAATTTGGTTTACTGCTGACAGCGAAGACAGAAGAAAATACAATAATGGTTTCATCTCCATTTGAATTGCACCTGGTGCATCTCGATCTCAAGGGGGCTCCTCCCAAAGTCTCCTACCTGGCAGAGGTAACATAGTCTTTTTCTGTATAATCTGGGAATTGATTTGTAGCTCCACCCAGCTCAAAAAAATAGTCTTCATTCTATAAATTGCATAATTGCTGATGAGAATCCAATGGGAATGTGGTGGGATATAAATGTTATTAATCAGTCAATCAATTAGAAAACATTCCGAGGAGCTGCAATGTTACTAGAATTCAGTTAACTGTGCATTTAAGTACAGTGACCTGGAAATAATACTTTAGAAATAATAGTTTCTAAATCAGCAACAACTCTGAAATGTGACTTTAGGGAGAACTGAAGAAATGTTGTGCTGGATTAGGCTAGTCCATCTGTCTAGGACCACAGTGAACAAGTAAATGTCTCTGGCAGCATAGAAGCACTTCCCACCTGTTTTCCCCAGCAACTTATTGTCTTAAATACTGGTAGTACTATGAAACCATCATGGCTATTAGTCATTATCTTCTATGAATTTATCTAATCCCCCTACCTTGAGACCATCAGTTTTCCAACCATCACCCTTCCATTGCAAAGTTAAATATGTGCTGTGTATTGTTCCTATTAGTTGTCCTGAATCTCCCACATTCAGTTAACCCAGATGAGCCTGGGTTCTAGCATTTTGAAAGAAAAAAGCTTCTTATCCACTTTTTGTACTGTATGCATAATGTTTATAATTTCTCCATAAGGAAGGAGAACACCAAGGAAGATTCTGCTCTATGCTTGCTGCATGTTTTGTACAGGGCGAAAAGAAGGGAGCTAAAGCAAGCTATCTCACCAGATCTAAGGGTAGCAAACAATATACCCAGGAGGCATTTCCTAAGGCCATTGTTAACTTATAAAATTAAATGTAGCAGTTCACCACTGACTAGAGATTTGAGATGTTTTATGCAACCAACAGATCTTCCCATTGCTCCATGTCCTGGGTGCAAATGGTATTCTCCTTGAATATGAGGATATGTACCCTTATGATGGAGAACTGAAGCCTCTCCGAGCAAATGATGCATACAGGTATGTTAGCTGTCTGGCCTTCTCAGAAGAGCCAACATTGAGATGTAGTCTCTGGTTCTCTTGTCTCACTTAAATCCCAGGTTGTATAGAGCTGTGCCAAGCCATTGTAACTGATGTAAATTTACTGCTGAGGGGCAAACTCTTTATTTTTTGAATATCCTCAAAACTGTCCGCATCCAGTGCTGATTTCTTCTGTTTGCTCGGCACTGGGTAGTGGGTTAGAGTCTAGAGTATCTAATATTTAGAAACTTTAGTTTATTTCAATTTGCTGCAGGTATGGACATGTAAAGTAGATGCAATCCATCCATTAGGTGAAGCAAACACACCCATGAAAGATGGAATTCTAAATAAAAAACATGGAATTAAATGTGTAATTGACAATGAATGTCTGTCTGTCTCTTTTTCTAGTCCCTCTGAGGTTAAAGAGATTTTAAAGCTGGCAAAGTTGCATGATTTAGAGGTTATCCCCTTAATACAGACTTTTGGACATATGGAGGTAAGTGCTGGCTTCTAGATAGGGAGGTGGCAACCCACAGCCCATGAAATAACTGCTCATGATTGTTGAGAGGAAGGACTAGACCTTCCATTTTCACCTGTCAATCAGATTCAGAAATGGTGTTTTGTTATAGAAAGAATCAGTGGCCAACCCTCCAGATAGTTAGGAGGAGGAGCAGCATATTTGTCTTCCCATCCCTCTCTCCCATAAATTCTGTTTAAGATCATGGGAGTGAGAGGAAGAGATGAGTATGTGAAAGAATGAATAGGTACATAGATATGTGAATGGATACATATGGTATGTTAATTGTATATGCATTAGAGTGGAATCACTGGATTCAGTGGGACTTCCGAGTAAATGTAGAAATTTCAGCCGTGAAAACAAAAAACTAAGAAAAAAAAGATGCTACCAAAGAGAGAGAGAGAGAGAATAGTATCAAAAGTGGCATGAATTGCTACTGAAAAGTGGGACAATTTCCTTGCTTCTTCTGTCCTCCTCTGTCTCCTGTTCCACCACTGTTTTCTGTAGTTCTGAGATGTTTTATTGATAGGTTTGCTTATATAGACAGCATTTCTGCATTTGTAGCTATACAATTTTCTGGATTGCTATGTTTGCTTTGGTTTGTGGATTACTGTCTCTGGTTCTTGCTTCTCCTACAGTTTGTTCTGAAACACAAAGAATTCTGCCACCTTCGGGAAGTGGCAATGTTCCCCAACACAGTGAACCCCCATAAAGAGGATTCCTTGAAGTTGGTTAGCACAATGATAGAGCAAGTGATTGCACTGCATGATGATCTCCAGTGGTTTCACCTTGGCTGTGATGAGGTAATGTTTGGAAGCACGGACCTGAATTTGTTCAGGGGAGACAGTGCCATTTAGCAGTAGTCATATTCTGTTGGCACATTATGATGTTTCCTCGTGGTTTTAATGTTTCCCTTGATGCCAACTTCCATGGGATCATTCTGATCAGCTTTCATTATGCATCAACCATTTACACCTTTCCATCTTTCATTTTAGCCGCCTGTTATTACTTTCTGTTAGTTTGATTGTACCCTCATGTTACAGCTATGTAAGGAAGATGAAGAAACCTCCTTGCAAGACAAGGATGAAAACACACAAAACACATCTTTCAGTTAGCTCCATTCCTAAAACAAAATATACATGTTTCAGTTGTTTTGGTCCATACAAAAAAAAACCAAAACCAAAAAAAAAGCTGCTTTGTCCCAGATACTGACTGAAAAGCGTTTTTCTGGGCATAAGTGGGAGTGGATTTTTGCAGTAGCAGCAGCTCAGGGGAGGAAGGGAAAGCACTGGTAAAGATTGTGAGGGTGGATAGGCCAGTGGGATATGCCAAGTTGGGACATTGGCAGCAGATCTGGCTGAGGGGACAAAGGAAAGGGGAGGCAGTACAAAAATGGACAAACAGGCCAGCACAAAATCCATGCAGAGGAAAGGGGACAGCACACAGTTGCATTGCCGTACTCACCCTGTAAAATCACTACAGATTTCCACTGGGTTTTGCTTCAGCCAATACCCAGAGTAGCCCAAATAGTTCATGGTTTATTTCCACCAAACACTGGCTGATCCAAAATTATTTCAGAACTTTTGGAACATGATGGTTTGCTCTATGTTTGAAATAAAACATATTTTCCATTGTGTTCACACCTGCACTTGGATTCATTATAACATTTTTTGCCCATCCATCCTTGGTACTATCCTGCAATTATCTGATATCATCAGATATTTTCTTACAAAAAACACAGTATAATTAAGCTTTACTAACTCATAAACATGGAGTAGAATTAATAATGCCTGCAGGAATCCATCAGGTTTCCCGGTGTGGGAAATGACAGATCTCTTAGTCACTTTAAAGTTGAGCCTGACTCCTCACCAGGATTTGGCTGAAGATTCTCAGACATGGCTTTGCTAAATTAGAATCTTTATTGCTGACAAAAATGAAGCCGCACAGAGTAGTTGATTGCCTGCTGTTAGTGCAAAGTTGTAAAAGAATTTTATACCTGGGGTGTGTTAAATGTAGGTTTCTTCCTTTGATTCCTCCCACCTCAACTTTTCTAGATTCAGAATTTTGTGTTTTATTGGTTCTTCATATTTGTTAGCCCACTTTAATATGACCTGACTTTATTTATTAAATGGATTTATATCTTGTCTTTTGTCCAAGAGCTCAAGGAGGCCTACATGAGACTTGAGTGTTTCCACATGACACAGTAACACAGAAGTTGCCTGAAAGAAAAGTAGCACTGAACAAAAGTTTTGATTTTATATATTCAGGTGTATTACCTTGGTGAAGGGGAAGAGTCCAAGGAATGGCTGCAGCAAGAAGAAAATACTGTTGAAAAGTTGTGCCTAGCCCACATGAAAGCAGTGGCCAGTCATGTAGCCTCAGCCCATCCCACAGTAAAGCCAATTGTGTGGGATGACATGCTGAGGAAAATGAGTGAAGAAACCCTGAGAGGTAGGTAGTCACTTCTGCAGAATTCCAGTTGCAGCTTTGGAATATTTGAGCAAGGTCAATAATTTTTGAGAGGCCACCATTCATCAGCCTCATTTGCACTATATAATAAGCCATAAGGTTTGTTTAGTGTGAAGATGCCTGCCGACCCAAGCTGCATGGCTACCAGATCTCCTATCTGCATTTGTTTACGGTCCCACACACACTATCTCCACCTGAAATTATCTGTATGAAATAGTCATAAATAAGTTATGGCTAGTGTCTATGGCTAAATTGGGCAGGAAGGAGCATGCATCCTGCATTTGGACAAGATTAGCTGTGAAGAAACCATAGATGGACATTTGGAATTGTGTTGCTTGGAAACAAGAGCCAGTGCACTCACAGATATTAACCAAACATTCTTATTATGTATTGGGAATATACGCATTCTAATCCCATAGCCTCTCAAGCATCTTGAGGTACTCCTGCAGAAGTAAGACCAATTTATAATAATAATAAAGGAAATTTTCCCTTCTTTCTTTTCATGGTGGAGATAGTAATTCTGAATGCATAAAGAAGCTCTTTGATCATTTGGAGAAGCCTGTTGCATTTTTCATAAAAGTTATGTTTGTTCAGTAGCTGTTTCTACCAACTATGCCATAGTTTGGAGTCTGAACATCATAAAAAAGTAAGCACGTGAACCTAATAATTTTTTAAAAGCTGCACAAAGCCAAATTGCTATGCTGTTTGAAGTGCAGTTCTTCTGGGAACACTAAAAGTACATACACAAAATACACAATTAAAACATGTAAACCTATAATCATTACAATTAGCACTGAAAAGAATGTCTATTGTGAACAGTTAAACATTTTAAAAATAAAAATCCAAAAATATACAAATGCTGCCGCTTCACATGATAGGAAATGATTTGAAAATATGGAAGCACCTTAATGAAATGAATTGGATTAGTACATAAAGATATTGTTGAATTAGAGGTAAATAATGTTCTGATTCAGTACTGAACTGAGGGATTGACAGTATCTTCTTCAGTCTTGCCCACACAAACCATATTTGGGGTTAGGGTCAAGAATATGATGTATACCTCCACATTACCCATAATTCTCCAAAACTGGTTTAAAATTAGAATAGTTTAAAACTCTTAAAAAGGCAACAGTATTGTGAGATCACCACATCTTGTGTGATTTCATGAGTGAATGCTAAAATCACTTGTTTTGTTAATCTTTATTACTGGCTTCATTAATCCACTCCAGGAGAGGCAGGAATTTTCAGAGTTTTAGCCACTGTTCTCTAAATTACAGAAATAGGAATTGTTCGTACAAACCTGAGAACAAACATCACAAAAGTATTATAATCGTTTGTATTTCTGTTTCTTTCCAGATTCTGGGTTAGCACAACTGACAGAGCTGATGATTTGGGACTACACTCCTGATCTTGATGTGGAAAGTAAAGGTTTGTACGTTGATGTTTTTCATTTGAAAAAGTGTAACTAAAATACATAGTCATGATTCTCAGAGTAAGTATAACTTCACATAGCACTGCATTCAGCAGATAGTAGGTTATCCTAGAACTGGGATTAAATTTCCATATAGTCATGAAGGGTAATGGATGTTGTCAGACTAAACACAGAGTATGCTTGTTTAGAATCAGTCCCCTTTTGCTCAAGTTTTTAACAACAGTAACAACAACAAACCAGCAATGGCCTGGTTGGGGATGGAGGCTTATCTGCTCTTTATCCCCTTTGTGCTTGTGACTCACATAGAAACATACATACAGTATAGAATGAAACCAAGGTAGGAGCAGCAGAAATGCTGCTACAGAAGCAACCTTGTTTATTGGTATCTATGCCTTCTTTGCTCTTTTCCCAAAATATTATATGTAATCCTCGACTTTCAGCAATAATTGGGACTGGAATTTCCATTGCTAAGCGATATGGTAGTAAGCATGACCGCATCACTTAGTGACAGCAATCCCTGCAGTCCTGATTGCATTAAGTGAATCCCACAGGTGAGGCAACTTCCTGCCAGCTTCCCACAACCAAAGTCAGTAGGAAAGCTGACAAAAAGTTGCAAGTCCCAGGCCCGCAGGCAGGCAACTGGGTGCTGCCAGGTGGGAAAGGGAGTGAGGGGTGTGTGTGTGTGCAAGGGTGTGCGAGATGCACTGTGGGGGTCAGGGAAAGTGTGTGTGGCAGTGTGCAAGAGGCACCCTGCTAGTCAGGAGGGTGAATGGGGGTGCGTGAGGTGCTGCATGGGTCAGGGAGGGGCTGTGGGGCTGTGGGAGGGTGCAGAGGGTCTGGGGAGGGTGCATGGATGGGGGAGAGTTACCCCAGCAACTTGCAACCTTCCCTGCCAGCTTCCCCATTGACTGGGGAAGCCGGCAGGGAAGGTTGCAAATAGCAATCACATGATTATGGGTGGCTTTGCAACTGGTCGTAAGTGCAAACAGGTCGCCAAGCTTACAGATCACAATCACATGACCACGGGAGAGCTGGGATGGTGGTAACTCTGAGGACTGTAACTGCCATTGTTCAGCACCATCGTAACTTCAAACAATTGAAGGAATGGTCATAAGTCGAGGACTACCTATAATGGCTTCTAACTATAAGCTAGCCATTTATTTGCTTGGGATAAGATATGGATCAAGTCATGATTACAGATTTTGATTAAGGTCTGACTTACAGTCTGGATTTGCACAATGTGCTAAGCCAATGACTGCATGACTCAGCATGTGTGAACCATGTTGATTCTGTCATCTTAACAAAACTCAGAGTTTTTGTCATGGACAAGATATACAAGAAATGAAAAGCTGATTTCCATTTGTTGGCATATGTTAAGGTTAAGAAATAATTAGCCCTTTGCCTCCTAGGCCTTCTTTATAGCTTCATTTCAACAGGTACAATTTGTACACTTATTCTTAAAAAGATCTTGGAAATATTTTAATAATAAACCTATCAATGCAAAGAAAAAACTTTCACTTTGATGGAAAGCCCCACTCATTTAAATTTCAAAACAATTCCTAGATAGTTAAAGGAATACAGAGTATTGGGTGTTAAATGATAATTAGTACTTGGGGCACTTTTAAAAAGAGGTTAATATTATGCAAGTGCAGATCCTACATGTTTTACTAATTGAGCTTAATCAGTTGTGTGAACAGAGCCTTAGAATCACTATCTTTTATTACTTTATTACTAATCTGCAATTAGTTTCTGCTTCTTGGAAATCAGCTGTATCCACAGAAGAGGGCTTTACATCCAAAACTTACATAAATTTTGCCTATAAATGATGGACTTTCCCCTCACATTTTAATAGTTCATGCAACAGGTGTTATTTCTGTCTCTTTTGTATCCAGCAAGTCTCATTGAAAAGTACCAGAAGTGTAACTTTTCAAAATTCTGGTTTGCTAGCGCCTTTAAAGGAGCCACTGGAGTAAACCAGTGCTTGACACTCATTGGACATCATCTTAAAAACCATGAGCAATGGCTGAAAGTAGTTGGGAGCAGTCCTGTTGGTATCATAAGAGGGATCGCTCTGACTGGCTGGCAAAGGTAACTAAATTGTATGCAGATCAGTAGAAAATATAGTATTATTAATATACTGCAAATTTTAAGAGCACTCTTAAAATTGCCCTAAGGGAACTGTGTCATACTAAGTCATTATACATAAGCATGTAGTCCTAGCTTAAAAAAACAAATTCCTTGTAGTACTGGAGCTATAACTTGAGACAAAATTCCCACTTTCACCATTAAATTTGATGATTCTCTCCAACTGAGTCTAAAATTCTGCAGCATCTTCTGTTTGTATCACCCAATGACTTTCACAACTACCTCTTTTTCTGAATTTCCTAAGATCTAAGGTTTCCTTTCCGTTGCATCTCCTAATAATTGTATTGCATAAAAATGTTCAGTTTTGCAAATGTATCAAGTACACACGCATCATTTGTTCAGATTGGTTTTGTTGTAGTTATAGACACGCTGTAAAAGAACATGCAGATATATTATGGGTCATTTTTGTTAGCTGAAGAGGCATAGCTTCCTAAAGTTCTTGCATTCTCTGACACTGCTGCTGCGCTGCCTTAATAGGCCTGCATTTTCTTCTTTAGGTATGACCACTTCTCTGTTTTGTGTGAACTTCTGCCTGCGGGAATTCCATCCTTAGCCATATGTCTCCGGGCATTAAAGAATGGTATAGTATGATTCTTTCTTCAGTCAATTAAACCACACGCTCAGCGTCTATCAGCCCTTCAAGGTAGTCCAGGCAGGAAACCCCAACCATGAATACTAACACTATCTTTACTGTAGGGTTACAATAACAGTATCTTGCAAGTCTGAAAGTGCTTACCCCCTCCTCTGCCTTTACTTTCCAGAGAACTAGGGAGGCTCTCATCTCAGATGCTTTCTTCCCCCCCATTCCTTTTGTGGGCTAAGATACCTCCTGTCTGACCATTGCCCTGGCTGCAGCTCTTCCTCCTGTCTCCCAAGTTTATTCTCATAGCCCGTTACAGCATCACACATACAAAAAAACCTTTTTATTTAATTTTATTACAAGTTTTTTTTAAAAAAATACACAAAATTAAAAAAACCCACCAAACTACAAAAAATAAGGAAAAATAAAAATAAAAGAACATAATTAACAACAAATAATAAAAAGAAAAAATATGGACAATTTAGGCATATCATCTGTGTATCAAATTTTAAACAATGTATGAACATTTCACATTAAAAAAAAAGACTCTATTATTGTAAAATGTCTTGAAATCTGTGCCAAAGGAAACATTGTATCTTTTTTATTAATAGAAAGAAACACCTTTTCAAAAATGAATAAATTACACATGACGTGACTTCAGCCTTAATATCGATTATATTAAGGTGCTTTTCCAATTTCTCAAAATAATGCTCCTAGCAATTTCCCATGCTGGATTTTACAATAAAATTTCACATTTTTGGAACATTATATATATTAAAATATTGTTCTAAAAGATGCCGATAACTCACAAGATCAAATCATACCAGCATCATAAAAAAGCTTCAGGATTACTAATACCATAATGTCGGCATTCCTTGAAATAGTCTCTTTTTCTCTTCTAATTTTACCCATACATTTTATGTTTGTAACCTATAATGAGCAGCAGTGTCCTTTGACTACATTTAGTATCTCATATAGCTAATTGTGGTTAACAATATGTTAACTGGAAACTGAGGCAGTGATAATGTGGCCTGTAACTCCAGGGAAATACTGCCCTTACATATTTGAGCCCAATCCTAGATACTCCCTGTATCACATCAAATAGGAAGGATTATCTGATGATTTTAAGGTATTTACAAATTTACTCAGAACTGTGGCTTTTACACATCTAACCTGAAGGAGATTATGGATCCTAAATGTTAAAGTATCTGTAGCACTCAACATCATTTGAGCAACAGAAGAGGGGTGGGCAGAGACTTATCCAGAGAACTGACACAGTGACATGTCCAACTGAGGAACTTCTGAACAGGACTTTTATTGCTATTATCACCTACATGAAATGATGCAGCAGGAGCATGTCTAAATTCTAAAGACATATTTTTGGCATTCCTCCTTGATTTTTCATTGCCATAGTAATAAATCATTGTACAAGATAACTATCCAATTTTGTGTCCCTTTCCAAATTTTATGCTTAAAAAAACCCTCTCTTTGGATCTTCAAGGTGGCTATTCAGAAAAAGTGAAAGAAGATGTAGAAAAATTACTGGGGCTGTCCCATTTGGAAATAGACACTTTCATGAGGTAAACGTCCCAAGTTCTCCATTATTATTGAATTGTTATTACAAATTAGATCTGCTATAACTCATCTTCAAAGTAAGGATTTGGGAATGGAACATTTTGGAGAACTCCAGAACATTCTGTTCTGCCTTAGAACCATGCCCAAACTCCACGAGCATGTCATTCCAGGGACAGTTCAGCTGTTTCTGGAAATAATCTTCCAAAATGGAAGTGGCTTGAGATACAACTCCAAAAACTCTTGAACTACCCTCAGAATGGCATGGTTTGAGGTGAAATGTTCCAGATTTCTCTGAAATATTCCATTCCTAAGTTAGTGAGCTTTGCACATCCTTTCTTCTAAATTAGGGGTAAGCAAAGCTGCATAATACGTTTTTTAAATTACTTGGGGGGGGGGATTTCCAAGGATAATAGCATCTTGGAGGGAAGCAGAGGCCATTGAAAGAGGAACTATAGGGCCACAAGTTGGCATCCCTCTCTTAAATATTTAACATTTGAACCAAGATTAATTAAATTACAGGTAGACCTCAGGTTATGTCCATTTGTTCAGTGACCATTCAAAGTTACAATGGCACTGAACAAATGGTACTTACAATGGGTCCTTGTAGTTCCAGCCATCACAGCGTCCCCATCATTGTGATCGCGATCCAGGCACTTGCCAACTGGCCCAGATTTCCATCTGTTGCAGCATCCCACGGTCACGTGATCATGATTTGCGACCTTCCCTTCCCTTCCACTTTACCACAAGCAAAGTCAACAGGGAAGCCAGCAGGAAGTTGGAAGCAGTCACGTGAGGTCCTCGCTTAATGACTCCAAAAGGGACTGATGGAATTGCCATCACTAAGCCACGCAATCATGTGGCATCATGCTTTACAAGTGTGTCACTCAGCAATAGCAATTCTAGTCCTAATTGCCACTGTAACCTGAGGACTACCTGTATAGCTTGATAAAAGTCTGTCCATTGTCACTGGATAGAAAGCTGCCAGTCATTTCTGCTTTAACAACTGCTTTATTCAGGCTTTAGTACTCATTCATTCCCCTTCAAGGATGTACTAATGAATCTTATTAGCAGAGACATCAGCAAATACAGCAAGGACACCTGTCCCAAGTGGGGCTTTTTCTACTGAAGTCCTTAACTGTGAGGAAGTCAACAACTATATGCATAAATGTTTTCCTTCTACAAAGTTTGATCCCTCTACTGATTAGAAATCTCAAGAGAAGACCAGGGTTCATCCTCTTCCCTCATATAATGGGTACCTGAGTAGGGCTCAGGCATCATCCAAAAAGGCCTAAATGTGTTATGGGGAAGTTAATTCTTTACCCAATATTTTTTTAACATTTTTAAAATTCCATTTTAAAAAGGCTGCGCAGGGTGATTCACAATCAACTGAACAATATTATCTAGTCACTTATTATGAATAAAATGTTTTATTTTAGCCACTTATTATGAAGGCTGATGCAGATTCTCTTCTTGAACAGTGACATCACAGGGACTTTCCCAGGAAATGAAATTCTCTCACTTGTGACCCAAATTGCATTCTACCTCAAACCCTCAGTAGATGAACTTCTGGAAAACAACAGGTGGGAACTCCCCCTCCCCCCACAAAAAAAGGAGCTGATTCTTGAAGCACTTCTAATATATAATTAACTTTATACCTGTATAAAATACAGTATCCTTTTGCTATGTATTAAATCACCCAATAAACACCTCTTGGTCTCATAAAGTGAGACAGGGGCTTCAATCCTATAGAAGCTCCGATGAACATAAGCCCCATTAAACTCAGTGATGTTTATTTCTGAGTATGGTAGCTAGCATTGCAGTGGGAGACAACTCTGATTTATTTCAAAATAAATAAAAACATCAATTTCATCTCTTTCATCACTGACCCAAATATCACATCATGATTACATGGCATTAAGGAGTATCAATGTTGTGTTAAATAGCATTGAATAAATGTCTTCTAAATTTTAAATCCAATAATTGGACTTAGGTGATGTCTCTCAACTCAGTTTTTTTTTCATTCACATCAGTCTGTATTTTTAGATATGTTACAGGATGGTTTAGTCCCTATCACAGAAGAAGAAAGAAGATCCATCCCATAATGATTCATCACTTTCAACCAGATGCCCTAAGGTAATTCAAGACTTGTGATCTCTCGCAATATCGGCATTTTTAAAACTAGTTTGGGACAGATGGCCGTAGATTTGCACTCTTGTTCAAACCCATCAACATAGGCAGTTCCATGCTGAGACTTAGGTGATGTTTTCTATGGATTCAATCTTGACTTAATCAGGTTCAGAGCCAAAGTTAATGGGACTTATATCAGTTGTAGCAAACGTATCTCATTGATTTCAGTGCATCTGCTCAAGTACAATTATGCATGTTATTGTAAATTTTGATCAGCTGACAGAGTCCATATTTACTCAAATTCAGAAATGGAGAAATATTTCAGAAATTACCTTATTATAGAAGTAAATTATTCACTGATCCACTTATTCTTTATATAAAATATGTATATATGTATATATCAAATAAATGATAAAACTGATAAAAGCATAAAAGTACAGAGGTGACTAAAAACAAAAATCTCTGTACTGCCTATCACCTGTTTTTGAACCTCCTCCAACTACTGACTGAACTGCTGGGAAGTTCAGCAGCTCAGTCAGTAATTTTTCAGTAGTTTCGTGGATATTTAAACTGCTGACTTAAAAGGCTTAGGAAAATAATATTAACAAAATGCTGGTCTTTTGTGAGATGTGAAAGGTGAATTTAGCTAGGCGGGTATCATAATATTTAGAGGTAAGAGAATTAGTGGAAGGCTGACACATAACTAAAAATATGGAATGGGACTGGATATTAGAGCTGTGTCAGAAAATGATAAGAGATTGAATTGCTAGAGAAAGAAACAGGCATAGCATCCGAAGAAAGAAGCATGCTAAGGAGCAGAATCTTGAATACACAGGAGAGAAAATAGGATTATGCAAGAATTAGAAACATGAGAAACTTCAGAGATGGGAAACATGGTGAAATACAGTAGGGCAAAAAAGTATTTAGTCAGCCACCAATTGCGCAAGTTCTCCCACTTAAAAAGATGAGAGAGGCCTGTA